CTCATGCTTGGTTCAAGTGACTGCTTACCAAACCTACTGGTTTTCTTCATCTTAGTATTCTGTAAGTGAACAAGGCTGGCTAGAAGCAAGATTGAGAAGTTGGGAATTTGTGTAGTTTTCCTTTTGTCCCTTTGTACCACACTACCCTTAGGAAACTAGATAATCATATTTCCTCCCTTGTTAAAACTTCCTCTTCTTCAGAAAAGGCATGAAAAAATATACTCTCGCAGCAGTATAAACAAGTAATAAAATAGTGGTAACTTCCCTTAGGGTCAAAGTCCCTTTTCAAGTCCCAGGAATAAAGTTCTAAATATGAAATTCCGGGGATTGATGAGCACAATAGACTAGGTCTGGGGCAAGACATCTTCCTTTTACCATCATGTGGGCAAATGTGTGGTCTGCCTGTCACCATGGCTCCAGCTGTGAGCTTCTTCCTTTCATTCATTCTTCTGAGTGGGTATTCCGACTTCTCCTAGGCTAGGTCTCATTCCTATTTTCTAAAGGACTTGCCATGGTAAATCAGGAACTTTAAGCCTCTCCATTGTTGTCTTTCTTCCTGTCTAATGTTAAAAGTCCTTTTGTTGGTATTGCAATGAACCAAAACTGAGGGATCTGCCTAGTGTAATGTTAGCATCATCTAGGCAATGACATAAAAGTTAACTTCTACTGGAGGCGGGGAGTTGTTTGAACTGTTGTATTAGTTGTTTCATTTCTCGAATCTGTTTTCATTTGTGCAGATAGCCTGAAACTCATTTTATTGCACAAGCCTACCAACTCAAAATGGTCTCACCTGACAGGCACATCAGTCAAATTTGTCTCTCACCAGGGTGGGATGGGTTGCTCTCTCCCTGCCTTTGTGTATCGTCCTCAGTGGTGGGCTCTGTTTTAGAGGATGGTCTTGTCAGTGACATGAGTCCTGCTCATTAGAAAGGGCTGCAAGGGCAGCCGCACTGCTCTAATGAGAGCTTCCATGCAAACTTGCACAGTCTATCTTAGTTTTAGGAATGATGAGTCTTAAGAAGAGATGGCAGAGCCATAATTTCTCAAGGGATCAGGAAAAGACTGCCCCACAGATCCCACTTCCCATCCTGACCGTGGGCTTGACATGTTAGATGTTACACCTTGCTATGGGGCTTAAAGAACAGAAACGGGGTTTGCCTTTTACATTTCTCTGGCTTCAGATCTGGAGTGGGGGGCCTCAATCTCCAGGCTGAAATACATAGTCTCCAAAAGTGAGTAGATAGCTGTTAATTTTGAGGCCTAGGTTTATATATTCTTTTTTCAATTCGTTAACACCTTTTCCTAGTACTTGGTACCCCCCACCTCAGGGCTGTATATCTATATAATTTATTTATTTATTTATTTTTAAAATTATTATCTTATGTTAATCACCATACATTACATCATTAGTTTTTGATGTAGTGTTCCATATAATTTAGTCTTCCTTGTTCTCTTTCCTCTAGGCATGACTTTGTCTGAACCAAACTTTTTTGGCCATGTAAAAATTAGTTTATTTATATTTTAAAGATTTTACTTATTTATTTGAGGAGGCGGGAGGGAGCATGAGGGGGGTGGGGGCAGAGGGAGAGGGAGAAGCAAACTCCTCACTGAGCAGGGATCCTGACTTGGGGCTCGATCCCAGGACCCTGGGATCATGACCTGAGCTGAAGGCAGATGCTTAACCGACTGAGCCACCCAGGCGCTCCTGAAGATCAGAGTTTAAACTGAACATGAATATAAGGGTTTTATCTTTAGTTATTACTAATCTTAACTCATGGAAAGAACAATTGTTTGAAAGGTCTGATGTCTTTGAATCACTAATGTTCTTTAGAAATTTAATTAAAAGTTCTTAACTTTGTAGTGGATGGTGACAATTTTCTCCTCTACTAGAGGGAAACCAAGTTTATGACATAGACTTCCTTTAGTCACAACTAAAGATTAAGGTAGGAAGTGATTCTTATTTTCTGTATTTATTGCAGCTGGTTCTTTTCTAATCTGAGGAGCAAAAAAGGCCATTGGATTTATTTTTTAATTTTTTAAAAAGATTTTATTTTTTTATTTGACAGAGTGAGAAACCACAAGCAGTGGGAGCAGCAGAGGGAGAGGGAGAAGGGGGCGCTCCACTGAGCAGGGAGTGGGGGGGCTCGATCCAGGACTCTGGGATCATGACCTGAGCCGAAGGTAGATGCTTAACTGACTGAGCCACCCAGGCACCCCAGGCCATCGGATTTATTATGTCATGCCTCACAAAGGTAGATTAGTCATGCTTAAAATTTTAGATATGTTAAATAAAACTGACCGAAGCGATGTGAATAAGCAAAAACAAATGAAAGGTAAACCATTTACAAATAATTCGATATTCTCTCTCCCCCAGCCCCCAAGCTTTTGCAAATCATCTATACTGTTTTTATAGTTCAAGTGAGCTTCTTTATGAATCAAATGGGGTGGATAGAAAAAAAATTACTAATCCTTTTAGAAAGTTTTATTATTCTGGGCGCCTGGGTGGCTCAGTTGGTTAAGTGTCCGACTCTTGATTTTGGCTCAGGTCATAATCTAGGCCTGTGTTGGGCCCTGCGCTGGGTGTGGAGCCTGCTTGGGATTCTCTTTCTTCCTCTCCCCTGCCTTTCTCTCACACACAACGCTCTCTCTTGCTCTCTCTTTCTTAAGTAAGATCTTCTTAAATAGATCTTCTATGATTCTAACATATTAGAATTTCCTTACTCTGACACATTCCTTATATATAAAATGGGCAAAAATAAACCATACATTACAGTGATGTTTTTGCAGCACTCTCCATTGTTTAACTCAGCAGGTGATTTTGAGTAAGCCTTCAAGTCATTTGCTGAGATTCCTTTCCCACTAGGAAAAGTAATACACTAGTTTTCCGCTCATTTACCATATGTAGTAATTTTACTCTAAGCCTTGCCCTAATAAGAGTGCATATACTTGATCATATATGAATGTTTGGGTAAGTGAATAGAAGTGGGAGGAGACATGGTCTATTTTCAAGTAGGTTTACCCTATAGTTTTATGCAAGGATGATATTTAAGATATGTAACAGTTGGTAAAGCAAGGGCACCAACCAATTAGAATGAAGGTCTTTGATAACAGGTGGGTCCTGCAGGTTTCTCCCCTTAGCCAGGCATTAACCCCTTAGTTCCTGAAATGTGGGAGGTCTAGAGAATCCTGAGAGAAAGGGCTGGTACAGGGTGGGGAATTCGAATTCTTGAGGAATTTGACTCAGAACTGCAGCTGTTGACAAACTTGTATGGAAGTATTTGAATATGTGATAAATCAGTTCAGCTGCACTTATGTGGACCAGCTGAACATTAATTAGCTTTATAAAGTGAAAAAGCATTGTGGGTACCCTAAGATATAAGGAATGCACTGTATCTTATTGATATTCAGAAGAAAGATATTGCATATATGGTAAAGGTACTGAAAATAATGTCAATAAAATAATTATCAGCCTTAAAATTAATAATTATGAGCCTTAAAATATAAGGGTAATTTGGAAGCTTATAATGCTTTGTACCTAGAAGATGTACCATATTGATTTTATGAAATCTAAGGACATTAGTTCTGCTTTTATGAGATCTAAGGACTTTAGAATAAATTTAGACCAATTCCCTTAATTTATCTATGAATCTTAGGACCATGATCATGGTCTCCCACAGTTAGTGATATGGTGAGACTTGACACGAGGATCTGACTTGATTTCTCCCCTATACCTCAGGAGTTCTCTCTGCCTAATAACAGCTTTGGAAACTTGCAGTAGTGGGGGGGGGGGGTTGTCAATGGACGGACTTTCCCAGACAGGAAAGAAGGGATATGAGAAGCTTAGTATCTTGACAGTCCATAGACATTTACTAAGTACCTAAAAGATGTTCTTTGTAGAGATACAAAACAAAAATAGAATCTTGCTTCACAAAGATAAATATGCTGAACAGCAGGATATGTAGCCATACTAACTGGGTTTGGATCCCAATTCTCCTCCCTATCTGTTCTGTGATCTTAAGCAAGTTACTTAACTTCTTGTGCCTCAGTTTCCTGGGGTGGGATAATAATATCTACTTCACTGTGTTACGAGCATGAAATTAATATACATGTAAAGCACTTAGGAAGTACCTGACACATAGTAAAGCTTGCTATTACTATTGATCATAGTTTTATGCACTCTGCTAGACATCACTAAGACACCCCAGAACTGACTCTATTAGATTCTGGCTGGATGCATAAATAGGCACACCAGACAGAATACAGATAAGCCTCACCATGGAGATTAAATAACTGCAGGAAGCAAAGTAATGGAACAAAGGGAAGGTGTCCAGAGCCACCTTTTAAGAAAGTATGGGTTATGAATTGCTTAAGAAAAGGGGAGGAGACAATTCAGATGGCAAGTATGGTGTGAGCAAAGGAATGGGAGCAAGAATGAGCACGAGGTAGGCAGGAGTCCATGGAATTGCTTGGCTGGATCAGGAGTTTTTGCCGTTGGGTGTTATGAAATAATCAGTGAATTAGGCAGTAGGAGGTGGTGGAAAACCTTGGAAAGTTGCCAGAGTCTCAAGAATTACCATAAGTGCGCGACATGCTCTCTGAACTCAACTTTTTCTTTTACGCTTGGAAGGCCCACAGGAAGTGCGCTTGAGAATAAATTGTGGGGTGGGGAAAGAACTATGCAAAAGACCTCGTACTTCGCATTAAATAGTAGTTCCTTTTTGCCCTAAGAGACTGAGAGGTTATTTTAACAAAGGGGATGGTACAGATAAATATCTCAATTTATCAATCTGATACCTTTTGGCTAAAGCGTTTGCGCTGACAGCTTACATTACTCATCCGCCTCACCAGGGCTGCAGCAACCGACACGCAAAACCAGGAGAAAAGGCGAGCGGTAAAGGGCGCTCCACGCATGCGTTAGAAGCCGCCCCAACTCCCCCGCAGCGTCCTTTCTTGGAACAAAACTACCGCGGAGCCACGGAGTTCCGCAGTTTGCGTAGACTCGAATTTCCTACTGCTCGGTCTGTCTGTGTGGAATCCGAGAGTGGTGCAGTTCCCTTCCGCAAGTTGCGTTATTCGAAGTGAATGGCTGGGTGGTGCGTGTACGCCCAGAGCGTAGCACCCATAGGCGGACGGGGTGCGGCTGCGCAGGGACCTGAGTGGGCCTTGTACGCCGGTAGCGTAGCCTGGTGTCTGACGCGCGGGCCTCCGCGACGCACTTAGCGCAGCCGGCTTTGGTGAATACACGATTTGGTGCAGCCGGGGTTTGGTACCGAGCGGAGAGGAGATGCACACGGCACTCGAGTGTGAGGTAACTATAAAACCCCGATTTGTTTACATTCCCTCCCCCAGAACCGGCCCCATGCGCGGCGGAGACTGCGAGTCCCGGGACGGCGGGGGGGTAGAAAGGGAGACAACGGGGGAGTCCGGGCTGGGTCTCTCGGGGATCCGGGCGCTGCAGTCGGCGGCGGCGGCGGCGGCGGCGGCGAGCCGGAGCAGAGCGCGCGGTGGGCTGCGCGTGGGGCGCCGCAGCTCCTCGTGTGCGCTCTGGGCTGCCGCGGGGTTGGCGGCCGGGCAGTCTTCTTTCCGCGTGCGGGACCCCGCGCTTGACCCAGACTCCTGTTGAGGCTGGGGACCCGCGCGGGGAGTGGGGGAGTGACCGCTGGGCGGGCGGCGGCGGTTAGGGGGCTGCGCGCGGGCGGCCTGGGGGCCGAGGGTGGTGTCGCCAGAGGAGGCGGGGACCCCGTGCCCGGAGGGTGGGAGGATCCGCAGTCAGGCCTTGGAAGGACTTGCGGAGGCGACGAATGCCCCGATTTTTCCTGTCCTGTCCTTCCCTCCGGTCTATCCTGGGGTCGGATGAGGGGCCCCCGGGATGGAGCCTGGGAGCCGCTGTTCCGGCATCGAGAGGCTAACGGACGGTGGCGCCTGTGCTCCTACCGCGGGAGGCCTCTTGGAGGCTTTCCTCCCCCACCAACCGAAAAGCTGAGGCGGGACGCGGGGGAGTTAATTCTTGAGCCCGCTGGGGTCCCCGGAGCTGAGGGCTGAGGGTGGGGCTGAGGTTGAGTCGGTGGGGGAGGCCGGGTGGGCCCGAAGGTGGCGTGGCGGCCCGGGCTTTGTTCCTGAAAGCCCTCGGCGGTGAGCGGCGTGGGTCCCGGCTGGGGAAGTAGCAGGAGAGCTGCCGCGGCCCTCCCCTGCTCTAGGGGTCTGCTCAACTCGCTTCTCCCTTGGGATCCTCGAGTACCCCAGCTAAGAAGGGGCCTTATGAGGGCGCAGGCGATGATGTTGAAGATCTTCCCCTGGCTTGTGTAAAGAACTGTTCACGTGGGAGCCTGTCCACATGGGCTGTCTTGAGGAGTTGGGCACGAGGAAGAAGGATCAGCAACATCCGCAGCCCTCACTGGAAGGGTCCTTCACACAAGTCTCTGTTTTAAGTAGTAAAGAGTAACAGTAAAGCACATAATTTTTTAAAAAGTAGGTTATACTGTTTTTTTTTTTTCTTTTCTTTCATTTAATGTCTTATACACTGTTCGGTATTCTAGTTTTACTTTGAAACTGAGTCGTTCTCGATGGAGCAAAACTAACGTGACAGCTTTACATAATTAAGGACAATATACTGGAAAAGCTGGAAATTTAGAGTGTAGTTAATTATAATACAGCGGAAAGCCTTAAATCAAGACTTTTGTATACTTTTTTTTTTTTAAGACTTCTTGTTCTACAAATTTTGTGTACCTTTATGAGTCAGTCACTGTTCAAGACTTGGGGGGTCCATACCAGACAACCCACATCCCTATACTTACTGAATATTGATGTACTGGAGGGATTTGTGTGTGTGTGTGTGTGTGTGTGTGTGAGATGAGACTGATTATTTTTAAATGTGGAATACATAGGATTACAACACACCCAATTACATTGAAATAATCAAAATATTAAATAAGATGAAGGAATCCATGCTTTAGTAGAGCATTCAATATCAAGAGTAGTTTCAGTTCTAATGCCTAATTTCAGGCTAGTGACTAAATGATCATTAAAGGATATAATTTGTATGATTTCTTATAAAGTATCAGGTACTACATATTCTGTGGTTTTGCCTACATTCATAACTGAAAGAATAATTTTCAGAGATTAAAATGAGGATGTATTTTTTTAAATTTAGATTCACAAGCCTGAATTTTGTACACAGACTCCTGGTTAAGAATCCCTGTGTAAGAATGACTTTGATGCTGTTTTAAAAGAAGTGGTCAGGGAAGACCTTTCTTAGGAGTTGACATCAATAATATGTTGTGTGATAAGTAGTATTTGTTCTTCCCATTACCAGTTAATATTCTACAATTTAAAAGCCAACAGATTCTCCCCCTTTTTGAGCACCTGGTTTTGCAGTACTTTTAGGAGGCTTCGAGTATGGTATGCAAGTACTACTCTAGGGGTGGGTTTTTGTTTTAGTTTTTTACTGTTTTATGGAGAATATAGGATATAGGTGTTATAGCAAGGGAAATTACAGTTACATTATAATTAAAGAGAATTTACCTCGTTACTCAGTTCTCTCCAACCTCTCTGTCCCCAAGTATTGGCAGTATTGGAAAGAATTGATGGCTTTGGAGTGAGACTTAGGGTTTAAAACTATGACCCATTATTAACTAATTTGGTGAGCAAGTTTATCTTAATCTTTTATCTCTGAACTTGTGCTAAAAAACCTACCTCATGGGTTTACTGTGATCTTTATAAATTACATAATGAAACAAAGGGCTGCAGAAAACCTTAGTTCATATTACCTTCTTTTCTACATACAAATGTTTCAGTTTTTCATTAGTGGTTGGAGGACTACTTTCTGTCTTTAACTCTGATAACTTGATTATCCGCAGAATGAAGTTTAATGGTTTCTACTGGGCCTTTGCCAGAGATACAATTATTCTATTGTTATTGTTCTGTTACTTACATATAATAATCCTTAGAATTTTTTTTCTGGTGCTCATATTTTTTAACTTAAAATTCCATATGTACATCTTGTTTTCCCTGCCCTACTAAATCCTTGAGGCGGCACATACTCCACAACTTTTTGTCACATAATGCTCATGACATTATTTAATGAATGGGCAGAGCTTGTTTGTCAACCTTTTAAATCAAGTTTAAAATGTTAACTGAATGTAACAAAATTTAAATTTAGGATTAACCCAAGGAAATACTTTGGATAAAAATGTTAGTCCTTGTCTCTGTAGTGCTTACCTCATTGGAAATGCCCTGGGTTTTGCTTTTATCAGCAGGACATTATTGGGGTGCCTGTGTGGCTCAGTTTGTTGAGTGTCTGACTCTTGGTTTTGTCTCAGGTCATGGTCTTGGGGTGATGAGATAGAGCCCTGCATAGGGCCCTGATCTTAACGCAGATTCTGCTTGAGATTCTCTCCCTCTCCTTTTGCCCCTCCCCTCGTTCTCTTTCTCTCTCTCTCTCAAATAAAATCTTAAACATTACTAGTCGTTTTAAACTGATAATCAAGATGCAAGAGAAATTACACAGTAGAAAATGGGAAGAAGTGTAGCCAATTAAAGCTATCCTTCTTCATTTATAACAAATTTTATAACTCTATAAAGTTGCCTTTCATTATAATGTAATTTTCATTAAAAATATACTAGCCTTGATTTAAAGTTTACATGTTAGAAGAAAGCCCAGACCGTCCCAGCAGCTCGATGCTGCCCCCTACTGTTAGCTTCTCCTTCACCTTCATCTTTTCCTAAAACAAGATTTATTTATTTATTATTTATGTTATGTTAATCACCAAAACAAGATCTATTTAAATTAGAATTCGATTCCATAGTGCTAGATTATAGCTAGACTATTTTGGGGTTTCCTCCATCTGGTTACAGGGTCACTAATAAGATGGACATAGTCATTTTGAATTGGTTAACTTTGGTTGCTTTTAGCCCCTAGTTTTCCAAGTATGGAGTGAGTTTGGATGGAGATAGGATAGTAAAATGCCAAGTTTCCCTGCAAGAGTATATGGGATTTTTGAAAGCAGGAGGAAAGGTATATGTTAAAAGTGTGTTTTTGAGATTAATTTTGTATATGAATAAAAGCAATTTTATTCATTTAATCTGGGCTTATGGTGTGAAAATAGTGATAAAAAATTTAGTCCCATATAGCTTTGTATTGCCTCGATTGTACTGAAAATAAAATTTGAGAATGTTAATATTACATGATGAGTTTTTTTAAATTCAAGTTTATTTTGATCTGTGACTTAGAATGATTTCTGAAAAATAGAGTCTCAAGGACTGTAATAACCACAAGATTTCCTGTAGTCATATAAACTATAAGGTTTCAAATTAGACCAATTATCAATAGGCTGAACTATTTTCATTAATTTCTCTTTGTAAGTTCTGTGAGTTGGCTGTATAATGACTTCTAAGTTTTTTCCAAAATAAGCAAAATGTATTTTCAATAAAATAAAATTGACTACAATCAGAATATCCAAAAATGTGTCTAGTAGGTATGAAGGTGATTTACTACTGAAATTGTGAAGTTTAAAATAACAATAGCATTATTGAAATTATTTCCGACTGTTTAAGAGACCACACAATGTTCAGACATGTTAAAACAACACAGATTGTTCTATGACATGACATATAATAGTGTCAAATTTTATTTTTTCTATTATCAGAACATAGGGTTTTTTGATGGCTAGATATAGGGATTGGATATTTAAGAGATTTTTAATACTTGATTTTCATGTTAAAAGATGTTACTAGAATGGGGTGGTGGTGGGTGGCAATGGTTACAGGTTGTGAGTATAAGGATAAAATCTAAAACGTTATTCAAGTAGTAAATTGTTTTAACTAAGAGTGGTAGATAATTTTATAATTACCTAATTTTATAATTATAATTATATTGTAGCTATTTTACTGCTGAAATAGAGGGAGATATGAGGTAATACTTACGCTTTCAGTAACATTTCTAACAGCCATATTTATACTTAATAATATGTACCCTACTTTTGGGGACCATCCATTCCATTCAGAAAAGAGGTTTTTGGGGATTAGAAAAGTGAATCAGAACATTGTAGGAAATACCTTTCTCTTACTAATATAGTAAGATTATGTCATAGGGCTAGAAATAAGAATACTATGATCTTATGTATGAAAGTTATTTTTAATCCTGTAGTGATTAAGACTTATTAGTCATTGATCACTTCGGTTTTTAGATTTATTTTCATTCATGTAGAAATTAGAAAATCTAAATGCTCTTCAGTTATAGTAACAAAATAACAAAGGTCTGCATCCCACTGTCCTATTACTTTAATGCCTGTAAATAAAAAAGAAACCATT